GAAATAGAGACCGTGCAAGGTCTCAAGGGGGCTGCGATCAACCAGAAGAGGGCACTTGAACAAGGGAGTGGGGCCACATGTTCAAGCACAAATAGTCACACGAGGAGGGGCCACACTGGCAGGGGTCCTCAAACTTTTTAAAGTGGGGGCCAGATCACGGTCCCTCAGAGAGCTGGAGGGCCGGACTATATGAACTACTAATTCTTACTGTAACACCTCGGCTGCGCTCACTGCCCAGAAAACCTGGCGGGCCGGATCAGACTCCTCCGGGGGCCGCATGTGGCCCGCGGGCCGTAGTTTGAAGACGCCTGGGCCACAGGAAGACTGAGGGATGCGGCCAGGAGCCCCCAGCAGCTGAAGAGGCAGGAAGGACCCTCCCTGGAGCCCTTCGAGGGACCACAGCCCCGAAACGCTGGTTTCACATTCTGGCCCAGAGCAGGGAGAGCACACGGTCCTATTTGTCTCGGGCAGTCTGTAGTCATGGGAGCAGCAGTCTCAGGAAACGCACACCTCCTTGCCCCTCCTTTTGGGTTCTGGGAACAGCTGAGCCCTGTGCCCTGGCACAGGAGACCCCTTAGACCTCTGTGTCTGTTGCTCGCTGTGGGGGCTCAGCCTGGTCTCTCGCTGCTCCGAGGGCTCCTTGGCAGTGACAGTGCAGTGGGCACACCAGGGCAGGCTAGGTGGCTCAGGGACTCCTCCCCTTACCCATCCTCTATCCCCCAACCCCAGCTGGGGGGTGATGCAGGATACTCCCCAGCCCTGCCCTTACCACCTGGGCCTACACGCTAATGAGTGCAGCCTGGGGCTCTGCTTCTTGGAACACCTGGGTTGACAAGAGCCAGCAATTGGGTTGTGATGTCCATATTCTACAATAGATGCCAACACTGATGCTCAGAGAGCGGGAGCAGAGGTCCCTACCCTCAACCCTCCTTCCCCTCAGCACTACCCCAGCTGCTGCCTGGTTGCCATGGTGTTAGAGGAGTAGGAGATTTCTGAGAAACAATTCAAAAAACACACCAGCTTCCTCACTTCCTCTCTCCAGCTTCAAAGCCTCCTTTTATGCAGGTAAGCGGGGACTCTTCCTGGCCAGGCAGCCAGGAGCAAAGGTCAAGGAGGCAGAGGGTCCCCAACGTCACCCAGCAGATTTCCTGGGCCTGGGCTCCACGCCCTCCCACAGTTCCCAGACCAGGCGGGCTGCTTCCTGCCTCCCTGCCTTCGCACCTGCAGTTCCCTCCACCTCGAATGCCCTTCCTCATCCTCCCAATCCCAGCTCAGCTTTAACTCCACTGGGGGACCTTCCCTGAGTCACTTGGGGCTCCCCCTGCATCCTGCACCCATGCCACTCACAGCTGTGTTCTTGATGATGCCCTCATGGGGCTGTGAGGTCTTGGGGATGCTAGCTTTGCCTTTGTGCCCCAGCCCCTGACACAGAAGGTGCTCAGTAATTCCAGGAGGAAGGGAAGGGAGCAAACAAACACCTCTCATGGGATTGGAAAGGATCTGGATGCTGAGCACCTGGCCCAGGGCTGGGCACACAGCAAAGCCCACTCACTCCCTTCTTTCCGCCTCCACTTGAGCCTGGGCTCCAGCACCTTCTGCCTCATCTGGATTGGAGCCGGCTCAGGGGTCATCTCCATACCCGCCTGTGTCTGTTGCCCATTTGGATGCAAGGGAATTGCACCCGGATGCAGACATGCACTTGACCTTATAAGGAGGTAGTGTGTTTGGGAGAAAGGTCTCCCCATTCTTGAAATCCCTGACTGTACAAACTTGCGTGGGCCTGAGGGCTGACCTTGAGCAGGGATTTTCACAGTGAATACTTTCTGCAAACAAAGCCTTACCTGAGGGCCATTATATAAAACAGAGGAAAACTGAGCTGCTTGAGGCAAAGTGGTGGGTGTTGAAGGCACTTGGGAGAGGGGACCAGAGTCCTCTCCCCTGTAGCTCTCAGTCCTGGGGGAGATGGGGTTAGTGCTGGTGATGGATGGGGTGTCCAGGAGAGAGGGAGAGTCCAGTGGCTGATAGTCACTAACTGGTACAGAAGGGCTTTAGTATTTTCAGAACTGCGTGTTCATGCCAGTGTGGCTGGGCCAACAAACTCTTTGATAGCAAGAAGACAACAAAAATGAAAATATGTCGTTGGAAAAAATGACCTCAACCTTTAATGTACTCGGTTTCTTTTTTTTTTTTTTAATCTTGAAGGGATATTTTAGGGGAAAGTATCTCTTGTATAGAGGAAATATTTATATGAATTCAGCAGTTCTATCAACTATTTTCTTTTGTGAAATTCAAATAAAATTAAAATTGTATCCAAAATATGATTGTTATGGTTTTTTGTTTTTTAAATATTTTTATTGATTTCAGAGAGGAAGGGAGAGGGAGAGATAGAATTGATGAAAACCATTGATCGGTGGCTGCCTCCTGTATGCCCCCTACCGGGGAATAGAACCTGCAACCTGGGCATGTGCCCTGGACTGGAATGAAACCTTGGGTCCTTCAGTCTGCAGGCCGATGCTCTGTCCACTGAGTCAAACTAGCTAGGGTGATTGTTATGGTTTTATAAAAGTATCTCTAACCACCACCCCCACCAAAAAAAAAAAATAAATAAAATAAGATTGGGCTCCAGCCCAGTGTGTGTGTGTGTGTGTGTGTGTGTTTAAGAATTTGCTTTTGACAAAGATAAACCGAAGGATCCAATACAGTCATGTTGGGGGAATTCGGCTGTTCTTTTATAGGAGTTGAAGAGCCAGAACAAAGCAACAGTCAGTTTCAAAGTGCAGCTCAACTCCCCCTCTGTTTTTTGTTCTGTTCATAAACATACAAGCTATTTTCTTTCTTCTGCACAGGGCTCATGCAATATGGAGAATCCATAATAGGTTTAGACCAGATTTATAAATAAATGCGCAGAGTGGTGGTCAAGCCGGAGATCTTTGGGCCTAAGAAAAGATCTCAATGTCCCCGGCTGGAGTATTTTTTAAAAGAAGAATCTCTTCAAAGGCCTACAAGCCAACTGACTTGCCAGCGATAAGGAGAAGAGGCATCTGTTCCCTAAATTGTTAAAACCCATAGGCGTTTGAGATGCCCAGTGACAACAGAGAGGTTTAATCTCCACACAGGGAATGGGAACGATTCTCCATGGATGGCTCACTGTCTCCGTGTCCAGATACAGGGGGGCTGGCGACAGGGGAGGGGGAAGCTAGAAAGCGATGCCAGAAAACTCTATTTGGACCGGAAACGGCGACGCCAAAGGTGCTGTGGAACCGCTTGCCTGAAATATTGTTTTGATAAATAAGCCATATCCTTGTGGAATTGAAATCTCCAACTGTTCCACTGGCACGGACATCTCTGCAGTGACAGCACATGCCCCAGATTGTGGAGTTAACTTGAATTAAATTTCAGACGTGGGGGAGCCGAGGGAGGGGGTGGTGGCAGTGGGAGGGTTACGAACAGTATGCTGGGGCTCTGATGTTGTCACAACCAGATGGCTTCGACTGTATCATTTAAACAAAAACAAACACGTCCAGAAGTAATGTAATAATGACAGGAGAAGCGCGGAGTAGCTTCACCAGGACCCGAAATCCTAACAGCTTTGTGCCCTCAGTCAAGTCCACGTTAGAAATCCCTTAGAGATTGAAAAATCCTAGAAGAGATCTTCGTCCTGCCATAAACCTGGTGCCAGGATTGCTATCCCCTCCCCGAGGACATATTCCTGGAACTCGCCAGCCCCAGGCCCATTGCTCTCTGTGAGTGAGGAAGAAAGCAAATCTCAAGTCTGGTTTGTCTTCCGGGAGCCTCTGGAGAGCAAGCAGCAAAGGCACCTTCCCAGAGCTTTGTTCTCGCTGTTCCCACAGGAAGGAGCTTTACCTGGAGTCCATGAACACTTCAGAAAAGGCACTTCCTACAGTTACTGACAATCTTCTCAGGGCTCTACATTACAACTGTCACTCAACAGTTCTGTGATCTTAGCGTGTCACGTGACTTCTCTGGGTTTCCACATCGCTCATCTATAAAATGGGAAGATGCTATCACTTGTCTTACCGAACATCAGGCTGTTGGGAAGTTCCGATGAGATACTGTGCACGGGAGGTTCGCTGAAAACTTGAGAATTGCTGAGCAAATGCAGTCACCGAGGGACAATGTGGGTGCAGGAGACTCTGCACGCCCTGATCCCCGGAACTGTGTGCTGATCTGGGAAGTGAGGACCCGGGAGGCACAGGGACAGCAGCCAGAACTCGGAGAACTGAGTGGCTGCTCACATAGGTGATGCTTAGAAGGACAATGAAGAGTGCAATGCATTGGTCGGTGTCCAATAAGCAAGTCCTGTCTTTGATTATGTTGATAATAGATCTTATTTACTTCATTTCAAGGGTGGCAAGATAAATGAAAATTAGAATATCTGCAAAGGCTAAAGTCACTGGAGGGAATTGGAAGGTGAAATATGTCGAGTTTCCATCTAAGGTCAAATAACACATACCCTGGCCACATGGCCAATGTGTGTCCCAGGGTATCCCACCTTCCGGGCCGCACTGCTATGGCCAAGGCCGAAGAGGAGCTCAGAGCATTCCTGTGAGCTTGCGGGGAACCCAGACATCATATCAAGTCAGTGACAGAACCAATCAGAGAAAATTACTTCCCTTTATTTAATGTCCACATTCATGTACCCTGGATTTTTTTATATGTCACCGGGAGGACACTGAGAGCAGGTTTTAGAACGGGGAGGGGGCAGAAAGCCCATTTCCATTGCTTGTCTCGGTAGAGGCAGGAGCCTGATCCCCCGTAGGATATGGATTGTCAGATCCTCCAGGACAAGAGACTGGCAGATGCTGGTAGCTCACCAAGGAACCTGCGATCGGGGAGATGTAATAAACCCCACTGCTCAGACCTTTCCAGCCTTCTCTCTGCACACTGCAGGATCAAAGCAGGCCTTCAAAATCCCTTACGGAACGCAGACCCCAACACCAGTCAGATGAGTGAAACAAAAGACCAGAGATACCACACAGTACAAAATAGTCATTATTTATATTTTCAAAAAGAAAAAAATTAACATTTGGAAGTTCTCCCCTGTAGGAAGAGGAGTGAATTGGAAGGAACAGGACTGGCTCCTATGCAGGCGCAGGTACGAACAGCTGAGCAACCGGGGCTGGAATTTTTTTTCACACAGCGTTAACAATAAAATTTCCTTTTCTTTCCACTTCTTTTTATGTTTGTGTTGTTTGTTTTTTGTTTTTGTTTTTTAGAAAAGAGGGGAGGAAGGAGAAATAAAATCAGAGAAAAATGCCAAGAAAACATTTTCCACAATATCTAAAAACAGCTATAGTTCTTGTCAAGACAGTATGAATTCTGGGTGAATTATTTTTTTCCAGTTTTCAACACCAATAAAGATTTTTTGCAAAAGCCACCACATCAGAACACTCATCTTCCAGATCAAATAACCTCCTTCCCCTTTCGCCTTCACTTGCCGTTTTTCATAAAGGGATAAAAGGCTGTATTCTGTTCTTGCAAACAGTAAGTGCTAACAACCAGAGAGCTCTTCTGATACTTACATGGCGGTGAGAAGTTTTCACAAATATCCAAGTTTTAGCACAGTTAGATGGATTAAAATTTCTCTCAATATAAATAGTACTGGAATCCACAAACTGATCTTTGAGAAATTCTGCAAAAATCTTTTCTTGTTTCCTTTTCTTTCCCCTTCTCTTAAAACTAACTGTCCTTCCTTTATTTTTCCTTTTTGCTCCAGGCACCTGACGATTTGTTCTGCTCAGTCAGATGCAGACAGGTTTCTCCAAGTACCACCGTAGGGCTGTCCTCAGGGCCAGCACCCGACCGAATCCCCACAGGGTCAGACTCGGCCAGGCCAAAGGGAACACAGTGACGCAGCAACAGGGTTTTCATTGGGTCGAACAGCCCCGAGTCCCCGGCCCTTCCCTCCCCCCACTCCCCCCAAGTTTATTTAGTGCTGTTTTAAAAGTCTGCGGCCGAGATGCAGTCTTCCCCCACAGCAGTCAAAGCTCCACAGATCGCGCTGTCTACCTGGTGGTCAATGGCAGCAGCAGAGGCTGCTGCTTCTGGAAAATGAACGGAGTCTTACAACAGGCAGGCCTTAGGACTGCTTCAGGCGCTTGCGTGGGGGTCCCAGAAAGGGGCACTGTGCTGAAGCCAGGGAGCGGTACGCCTCAGCCACCAAGTGGGGATGTGACACCACCATCGCCTTCCACCCTGAGGTCTCCAAGACATCCGAGGCGTGACTAGGAGAAACGTGAGAGATGGGTTACCAAACGAGGGAGTGAAGGATGGTTACACAGCCGCCTAGACAGCCTAATTTCCCAGAGTTTGCTGTAAAGGGCGTCAATGCAGGAAACACTCAGACAGAAAACCCTTAGTATGCATGAGACTTTGCTTGATAGAGGGTATGCAGACCGCTGACCAGATTGTGGCTGTTGTGACTCTGAAAACCAGGACTTAGAGCTACTATATTACTAACTACAACGTGAAATGTCCCTCAGGCTAGTCTCTACACTGTCAAAGCTCTTTGCAGTTTTAAAATCCTCACCCCAGGATATGATTTACTGATTTCAGTGAGAGGGGAAGGGGGATGGGGCGAGAAACATCAGTGTTAGAGAGAACAAACGACTGGTTGCCTCCCGTTCACTTGCACAGGGGCTCGAACCTGCAACCTTTCCGTGCCGGGATGATGCTCCAACCAACCGAGCCACACCTGCCAGGGCGCTCAGTGCTCTTTATGTTGCTAATGAGACAAGAGACAGCTCGGAGCTTCCACCTGGCTCTGCCGTTTCCTAGTGCCCTAGCCACAGAGCAGGGCAGGGCCTGGGGTCTGTCTGAATGAAAAGGAGGGGATACTAACCGCACTTCCTTGAATGGTTCAATCTACAAAGCACCAGGAACTGTCCACCTCAGACTGAGCACTCACTGGGACCATCACTGGGTGGTCTCCTCTTTTTCCTCAATCGGTAACTCTTTCGGAACAATCTTACAAACAGCCTTAGAGGGCATTGTTTCCTGATTTGGGGCATTTTCTGAGATGAATAACGTTCACTTTTTGCCTGGCCACCTCTTAGACCAGCGGTCGCCAACCTTTCAGGTCTCACGGACCACCAGTGATTGGCGGACACCGGCTGGCGACACTGTCTTAGACCCATCTCTGAGGTTGTGGTGAGAACTGTTGTTCTGAGGGTGTTGTGAAGCCTGCTGCTCTCTTTTAGGTTTTCTCTAATTGCTATTCCCCCTCAGGCAAGGGAGTAGAACATGCCCCACTGAGAATTACTTCAGAAAGTAATATGGCCAGGGCATTTGTCATTTAAGGTTGAAGGAAGAGATCTACTAGAATGAACATTTCTTTCTCAAAACAGTATTTAACAACCTCATCTACGGATGACCCCTTCTCTTTTCCCCGTTCCACAATGGACCATTAGATATATTTTACTAACTCATAAAAACACACTCTTTTCACCCAGAGATCTGCATGCCTTTCATCAGGCCAGTGCATGTGAAGTAAAAATGCTATCATTTGGGGAACACAGCTTTTCCCAGCCAGCACATTATCATGTTCATCAATCTGATCACTACAAGGAAGTAAAACACCTCACTCAGCAATCAAATTAGACCCATGAAAGCAAAACCATGTTCCACACTGTCAAGATGAAGGGAAAGATGAAAACTATATTTACTACTAGGAGTTAATGAAGCTTCTCGTCTATTTTATTCACTAATTCAAAGTCTTTTCACTTCTCTAGCTACCCCGACTACCCTGAAAGAAGAACTTTGAAGATGCCAACTCACTAGTTGATGAAATCCACTGCCTGCGTTTTCAATTGATCTGCGCTGTGGAGGTCAGCCAAGATGAGAATCTCTGCGGCGTTCTCCACAGAGAGGTTACTGCAGAGGGCGTCCTCACACATGACCTTTAAGCGCTCCAGGGCGTACTGTAAAACACAAGCACTGCTGTCAGCGCAGGAATAGCTCTGGGCTGGCTGCTGCTGAAGCTGTACCATCATGTCACGGATACCTGAACAGAACTGTGCAGACTGTGAGAAGGCTAATACTGCAATTATAAAACACAACCATACTCCAAATGCTGAGTTGAAGACAGCTAACATAACGCGTATACCTACCATTTCAGTTCTACAGTATACCTTGGAGAAAAATGGCAATTATGAAATTTTGCCTGTCCTGATATTATTCAAGTGTTTACCTGTCCTGATATTATTCAAGTGTTTCTTAAACCATCACTCCCCACCCGAACAAGGACGGATCACCCTGCTTCGGGTCACCAGGGACATGACATGCTCAGCGTCTGCAATCCTTTCATTCAGAGCCGCACAGGGTGAAGCCCAGTCACCGCAGGGCAGGATATCCGACTGGGCCCCTGGACAGGCGGCGGAAAGGAGCCTGAGGTGACTTCACCAGCATCTCTGCCACCAGTTGTTCCTGAAGGAGGGTCAATCCCAGCCTCTTTCAGCTAGAGGGTAAATGGAGTCCTATTTTATTGGGGTTGAGGTTAAGATTCTCAGGGTAGAAAAACAAAGCAACAAAGACCCTGGGATCCAGTTTCAGTCTAAAACTTCTCCCAAGCAAAGGGTATAAATGTTTTATAAATGAAAGTCTAGGTTAATATTGGGCACATTTCATTTAGTTGATTTGTTTTGACGCAACTGTACTCCTTGCTCTCAAATTTGAGATTATGAACTTACTAAGGAACTTCAAGGATGAGGAGGAGGAAGGCGTAAAAGGAGGCACAAAATAAAATGTCATTCATCAGTTTACAGGAAAGGGGTTTGGTTGAGGGTCTCCAGTCCCGCTGTAGGTCCCATCTTAAGGGGCCTTAGAACTCAATGGCACAATATTCCTCTAAGCTGAATCATGGCAATCAAGCCAGGCCAATTTTATTTTTATGAATTCTGGGTGAGGAGGCATATCTGCTGGCACTATGATCTCCTGCAGCAAAAAGAAAATTTTATTGGTTTTGGTGCAGCTTTAATTTTTACATTTGAGTAACTGGAAAACAGTTTCCATGGAAAAGAGGAATGACACTAGACAAGCAAGAAATTAGGTTTTTGTTTTAAAAGGCTGGAAAAGGTTTGGTAAATGTTCAGTTTTTACACAGTGCTGCACAGAATATTCCTTTTATCCTTTCTCAATACATTCTTTTAAAAGGACTTTTACTGTGAATAGCTCTGATCCCTACTGCATAATTAGACAAAAGTAGCCACTGCTGTCCCTTGGGAGACAAAGTTTTTTTCTTAATTATACTTCTGAAAAACCTGCCTAATGGCAGTACTTACCCGAGAGATTGAAATTGTGTCTCCCGGCCTGGCCAACGTGTTTTGTTTTGTTTTTGGTCTAATTACACATGTCCCCAGGAGACTGGAAAAGCTCAGAAGAAGCTGTTGCAGCCTCTTGGGTAAATTCTACATGTTTAGATCCTTCCATGAAAGATTTTTTATTCTGTTTTCCTGAAGCTTACAAGGAGGTATAAATGTAAGAATATTTTCAAATAAGCTTGGAGCAAACAGTGTCTAATGGGAAATTCTGAATGGAATTTGAAAACACACCCTTCAGTTATTTCTCATTCATAAATTTAAAGTATTACTGTGACTCAACTGCTTTAGCTTTTAAAATCCCAAGTTAACACATTGTACCAAAAATACCACCCTTGGAATATCCTTCGGGCTGAACTCTGATAATAGCAGGTTCCCAGTAAGTTCTCTGGTTGAGGAGCAGAAATGAAAACCCAGGGACACATATGTCTAATCCTGGCTCTAAGAATATACAACCCTGAACCTTAGTATTTCTGTCTAAAAAGTGGGCCTTTGGATATTACTCATCCTTATGGGAACTAGAAGATGAGAGGGAGATAAATGCCTGTGTATAAGCACCAAGTGACTACTTCATTGAAAATTAGCAGGCAGATGAGTCAGAATCACTATAAAATTCGTATTTATAAAAAGCAAGTATTGGGCGCTAGCCAGTTTGGCTCAGTGGATAGAGTGTGGGCACTCAGACTTAAGGATGAAAGGTTCAATTCCGGTCAAGGGCATGTACCTTAGTTGTAGGCTCAATCCCTAGCTTGGTGTGGGTGAGTGCAGGAGGCAACCAATCAATGTGTGAGACACATCGATACTTCTCTCTCTCTCTGTCTCTCCCCCTCCCTTACACGCTCTCTAAATATCAATGGAAAAAATATCCTCAGGTGAGGATTAACAACAACAACAGAAAAAAAAACAGCAGGTATTGGGCTGTGTGCCTTCAACTTCCTCCGAGCTCACAATGTATATTTCCTTACTGTCTCCACTGGAAGCAAGTTTCTTCTGGTCAGGGCTGAGCCAGACTGAAAGGGTATGGGATGTTCGCATTGCTTAGCGGTACTGATTCAGTCTTAAAATGTAATATGCAGGATACAGTATTATTCAATCCTTTTCATCTGCAGCATTGATTGGGTTTACATGCCTTATCCTCTACTAACAGTCCAAAACGCTGATCAATAAAGACAAAGCCTCCTCTGTAAATACAGATACTTTCCTCTGTCCTCAGGGGTGCACAGGAAGATGGAAGGAGACTAGTCCCACGAGCAAAATCCTGAAAAGGCTCTAGTGCCTTTACGTCCGAGCCAGAGCCTCAGATGGCACTGCAGCATCCTGGCAGAAAGAAGAGACGCTTCCAGCAGAGAGCCATCTTTCTCAGAGGGTCAACTACTGGATGGGGTAAGTCCTTTGACATTCTTACCGCAACCCCCTTCCCAACACAAGAAAGCTCCCACAGGATAAACAGTAATCACACACACACACACACACACACACACACACACACACTTGTCAGGACTACAGGGCTTGGAGGACAGACAAGTCACTGAGCTCTCTTTTTTTTAATGTATTTATACAATGAAAGTCAGTTTCCCAAAGTGTGCTTTGGGGAACACTAATCCAGGGGTGATCTTTCAGGAAAAGAATTCCAGAATTAACTAAATTGGAGAAATGCTATGATAGTGAACATGAACATACTAAAGGTTCTGAGAAATCCTGCAATAAAATAGCAACAATACACAAAACCTCACATTTCATTGGTTAAACTCAGTGTTTCATTGGGATTGAGCCTGCAATTGAGATACATACCTTTCCCCCCACCCTAAGCTTATTTTGGGAACCACTGGTCTGCTATTTTAGATAATCACATTTCCTTGCTAAGATCCACATTTTCATTTCCACCCTTTAACATTTCTCAAATCAAAATGTATCTTACAATCAAAGTATACATTTGCTGTAGTAGTAGCTCTCATTTCCCGAAGAGCTAATTAATCATCTCACAATTTTGAATATTTCAAAAACTACTTAGGGGAAAGTTAAAAATGCCAACCAGGACACTGGGGGGGAAATTATCCTCCTATGGAAAACGTTTAAATAAAAGTTAATAAACCCAAGAACATTTTATAAATTATAAAGTCAAGTCATAAATTCAAATGTCAGTCTTAAATATCACTATGGTTAAATCTGGAGATGATTTAGCAGACTTCTTATTTTCCATAGGTAGAGTGACCATATATAACTTACCATTCGAAGCAGGATGCTTCTGAAATGAAAAAGGGTGCTATCGATAATTGGCCTGCAGCACAAGTATAAAACAGGACTGTCCAGCCAAACTAAGACAGGTGCTCATCTTATTTACCAATGCAGCACAGAAGCCTTGCCACGAAACTCAAGAAGTTACAGAAACTCCTAGTTTTGTGATTATTTTTCTATTCCTATCTCACCTTGTCAGCAGCTGCCAGCAAATCATCAGCCATTTTGTCCAGGTTTGGAGCTTTCCCCGTGTAAATGAAGCACATCATTTCCTTAAAAACTTCAGGCTCCACATCATTGATTTCAACCCGATTCTATGCCAGAAAGACTGAAGTCAGAAACATTCCAGCAAAACAAATTCCCTAAACAATTTTCATGATGTTAAGCTCTGGTGAGGAGAGAAGCTTTTATCATTTAAAACCTAACATGAATGGAAAATTGCTCTTTGCCATATTTGATTTTAATATTCTCCTTCATATGTACCACCTTTGTTTTCAAAGACAACGATAGCTTTCATTTTTTTAATCTTTCTTTTCTTGAGTAGAAACACATATCTAATATCCTCACCCCAAATCCTTTGGATGATCTGCCTGAGAGAGAGTGAGTCTCCTTTACCTAGAATCCTCTGGACCACCTCTCTCCACTCTCACAGTGTCTCTTCAGGGAATTTGTACTCCATTTCAGTACCACAATAAGATAATTAGGAAAATAAATCTGCGGCCAAATTGGAAAACCCATCTGAGTCTAGTCACCTAGCTAGAAGACGTACTTTTATCCTGATACATACCTTTTTGCTCTCCTCCATTTCATGTTCAAACATGGCACTAAAAACTGGAGAACGAGCTAGAAAGTGAATGGCAACAGAGACAGATGTGGTTATCACATTGTAATCGCGTGGCTCTTCTGTTATGTAGAAGAGGTCATTTTCCTTCCTGTCGCACTGGTACAGGAAAGGGACTTAGCCTCAAATTATAAAATTCATTTCTCTTTATATTATACCAATAAGTTAGTAATTACAATACATAGTTAAAAAAAGGAAATTGCTACTTTCAAAATAATTTATTAGCTAGATTCCAAACATCCATATTTTAAGGAAATTACTCAAATTTATCTATATGTTGGATGACAATGATATTCTCTGGGTAGATTGGGGGTTCAAATGGAAGGTCCTGTAGGGTCCTAGGCAGGATGTCTTGATATCTACATTTGTGCCTGGAAAAAAGACACCTACTTTCCCCACTTCCAGGGACCACCCAGCAAGGAGGCCCAGAACAAGGCTCAACAGCATCCACTAGATGAGATGCATGCTCATTTACGTCAGGTTTTCTGGTCCTTCCGGCCTTGCATTCTCAACAGAGATGGTAACTTCCCAAAGATGCAAGAAAAAGAAATCTTAGGGATTACATCATTTGTAGCCCTTCAAAGCTCAACCCTAATAAAAAATAAAAGATTTTAAAAAAAGCTCAACCCTACCTAACAAAATCTTATTCCTTAGTATTTAATGTCTCTCATTGGAGATAATTTAATTTTTTCCTTAGGAATGGGAATAACAAAAAAAAGGTTAAGAAACAGTGTTCTAAGTCATGCCCAATTCTAGTCTAATGAACACTATAAATAATAAGTAACCTTAATTTCAACCATGAAAGTAATAAAATGCCTAAGAACTCAAATTTTATGTTGTCCAACAAATCAGGGATTTGGTGAAAGTGAAGACTACCAATCTCTATCTGAGAGAGGAAGAATAAATGGAATATATATAGGACTTGGAGCTAACAAGTAACTGGAACTTAGACCTATAGTTTATGTTAGAAAAAGGACTAATTTTAGATCTGCCATTTTTTAACCACACAATCTTGGGCAAATCATTAAACCCTCTGAGCCTCAATGTTTTAATCTATTCCAAAGGGTATTAATTCTCCTTGTTCTTGTCTCAGAAGGGTACAGACTAAAAGGTACTAAGTAGATACATTATAGAAATTGAAGACTAAAGGGCTGGTGCTTTTCATAAAGAGGGAAAGGACCAAAGCAGTGATTTGCTAAGAGGGTCATCATTGGCTAGACAGACGCTGAGGTTATGAGAATAATAAAATTACCCAGAGAGAATAAATAGAATGAAAAGAGAACTGAGGGAACACCAATGTTTAAAAGGATGCATGAAGAAGAGGAAGGCCACACATCAGAGGTAGCCAGAGAATCAGAAGAAAACTAGAATAAAGGAGCCAACTAATATATGAACGAGAATCCCTTAAATATAGGAACTAGCCAGCCATATTACTTTGGAAAACTGCTTTCATTGCATGTAGATGAACTGAAGAGAATGGGAGGAGAGAAGTTGAGACAGTAAATATACTGGCTAAATTAAGAAATTCAGTTCTGAGACAGAGAGACAGACAGACACACACACACACACACACACACACACACACAGAGAAAGAGAGAGAGAGAGAGAGAGAAACTAGACGGAGAAGCCTGAGCCTGTTTATAGACTGAGGGTAAACAGGCAATAGGAGAAAGACAGTTGATGAAGATACCAGATAACAAAGGTGTAAGTGGCAGAGTAAGAAGAAGGCAGCCGAAACCGGTTTAGCTCAATGGATAGAGCGTCGGCCTGCAGACTGAGGGGTCCCAGGTTCAATTCTGGTCAAGGGCATGTACCTTGGTTGCGGGCACATCCCCAGTGGGGGGTGTGCAAGAGGCAGCTGATCAATGATTCTCTCTCATCGATGTTTCTAACTCTCTATCCCTATCTGTAAAAAATAAAATATATTAAAAAAAAAAAAAGAAGAAGAAGGCAGTATGGGATATGAAAGAACAGAAGTAGAAAGTACAGTGCTTTGGACACAAGGAAGAGCACCCTTCCATGGAGAATGCAGGGAAAATGCAGGTAAGGTGAGAGAGAGGCAAGAGCTAAGGGACAGAGCCTCAATTTTCTCTTGGAAGAAGTAGCAAGCCCTCTTTTAGGAGTTGGAGATTAAAGGAGAGTAGTAAAGTTTTGAAGTAGCTGTTGTTGAGAAAAAGAAAGGGAGCTGACTAAATGTAGGAAGAGTTCTTGGCAGTGCTGAGGGCTTGAGTATGGAGCGCCAACCTAAGAGTTGATGACTTCCTTTAGCAGTACACGGTAACATCTAGTTCAGAGAGGGAACAGAAAGATGGTTAGATTGAGAAAGAGTGAGGTTTTGCCAGGTGTGTATTTTAGAATAGAACTGAGAATCTTGGTAAGAAATCTGTTGCTGAAGGTTCATGCTATTTCCTTTTATGTCTTAGGGCCTGAACAGAAGTTTGTGGCTAACTGCTATGCTTTCACATGAGGTCAAGTCAGCCTGCCTTATCAGTTTCCCTGTGTCAGTCTTTCTGGTCTCAAAGACAAAGCGCCTATTATTAGAATAAGACCTGATCCTCCATGTCACTGGCAACATTCTTATCCTTCTAATATGTTTATATGGAAGAGAGGGCTAAGATCTCCAGGGCGGGGGACTTAACTAACACACAGTTTATCCGGAGTCCAGAATCCTCTCTGTTATATCCTAAGTCCCTGTCTAGGGACTAATACTTGATCCTAAGCAGTGTTTTGACATCTGTTCTCTAGGTGCAAAGGCATTCAATACATATCATCATTCATTCCTTGAAAATGGTGGCCTAAGACCACTACAGAGAGGAACAAAAATACCATTTTGATGCAGAGTTGCCTTTTTTTATTATGACAACTAATATCACCACAATATAAAAATATAGTTAGTTGCAATTTTTTTCCACCAGTTCAAAAGGCTGAAGTTATTCAAAAGGTCATGATGCAGCCACTGGTTTGCCTTGTTTCACCAAAACAAACGCTCCCACGAATAGATACTAACCTGCTAAGATTGCTTTGTGAGCCTGGAATTCCTGGCCAGCAACACACAAACAACAGTCTGTGAACCTGGAATTCTCCCAAAGTCCTCCTAACTCATCTGCCAACCGGCACTCGGGAACCTTCACCATATTCATGGTGTTCTGGCCAGAAATGTTGACGGAATCTTGCACCACACTCACCTGTAAAGACAAGGAAACAGTCCAAAGCTTTTGTTATCAGGAATTTTCTCCCCAGCAGAAAGAGAGACGATTTTTACCTCATTCAGATACTAATGTTAGCCATATTCTCTTGAAACCTCCTCTACAAATCAAGGCTTTATCCTCTGGATCACGTAATTTTCAATCTATCACAATTATACTTAATCTACGCCATCTCAGGAAATAGGGAGAGAGGCCCACAAATCTCCTTCTCCTCCAACTTCTTATAAGCCTCACCTCCCCTTCCCTGAAAACCTGGGCAAAACCATCAGAAGGAAAAACTAAAAGAAACAAATGTTAAATCTCGAGTATTTATCTTATTCTGCCTTAAGGTTAAATACAAAGAACTCCTATAGAAACTGCCATTTAAATTAAACTCTTTAGAGAGAAAAATCTAGTACACCTCACTTACTTTAGTTAGGTCTGGAACAGGAAAATAAAATGCGACTTCCACAGGGCCTGGTAAATAACTGACACTTCCCTGCAAGTGTTAATGTAGTGAACAGGACTAGGCTTGGAAGATGTTTCTGGTAGAGATAATTGTATGGGTATCCCACACCACCTATACCAGTACTCAATCATTTGTGACAATGAAATACAAGATGGCTGGCTTCTGCTAGACTTGCACTCAGAGCTTTGGAATGGAATGATGAGAACAGGTTTAAAGAGGGATCTAACTTGCCACATGGCTTCAGCAACAGGTTTTCGCCCATTGAATTAAGAGTTCAATTTACATTTAAAACAAAACAAGGTAATTTCTAGATGGGTCAGTGAAAGTCAAGTAAGTTTGTTAGTATACCAAACACAAGAATTTGTAAATCATATAACATTACAAAATAAATTTAAGTTACCAAACTGAAGCAGATCAGTCTTCCGCCTAGCAACCACTGCTATACTTCATCTCCTACATCGTAATACGTTAGAAATGTTAAAATCAAAGAATTCATAAGCTTTGAGAATCAGCTCCCCCATTTTGCTATTCTGGTAAGTTAGTTGAGAAAGGCAGCTTAGGACATCCTAAATGACCCAAATTTCTTTTAACCTTCAAGACAGAAGCCATCCCTTACATGTAGTCATAAACCCCGAGGCAAAGTTAATGCCCCATCCAAATGGCCCGCAGTCCCTTCTGTGCAGGAGCAAGATATTTATTACCAGGTCAAGAAATTTATTCATTTGTTTAAAACGAGCTGTTATAGTCTTGAGCAATGAAGCAGCCAAGTTAATCAATTATGAATGTGCTCAGCATTAGCAGCACATTTATCAGAGCCAGATTATAACATTATTTTAATAGCCTGAGACCCAGCACAAACTACTGCTCAGATTCTCTCCTGTCCTGTGTAAGATCTCTAATTTGGGTCAGCCATTCTCTCATATTAACACTCTTATTTCTTTGATATAATATTAATATCCAAGAAGAAGATGCCAATTTCCAGTAATAGCTTAAAAATACCGCTGATTAATTTTTTTTTTTTTAAAGGAAAAGACCAAGTAAATTCAACTTCCTCATAGAGAAAGGCACGACTCTCTTGGGATGACCAATGAAGGGAATGAAGAATACTTTTGGCACTATGTCCTAAGCCTGAATTAAACCAGGCTCAGAGGAGCCCAAAGTTATTAACACTTGATGACAATTCACTAGTCTAAGTAAAATGAATTGGCAAGAGACAAAGTGATTTCAAACTATAGTTACCACAGACCCTCTGCTGGTTAGATGCATGCTTGGTCATGAGTGGGGCACCCAAAACTGTGACTCCTCTTGCAGGGACAATTCCTCTCTCTAGACACAAATAGGAATGCAGCAGGAAGGAGAATGTACCTTTACTGTCTGAGCCAGACTTGTTCTGTAGATAATATGGATGCCTGGAGTCTCCAGAGCTCTGAATGTCTGGCACCTCTCACCAACATTAAATACGCTTAATTAAAAATAAATTTTAAATGGCATTCACAAATGAGTCTTCAGAGCCCAAACTTTTAACTTAGAAAGGGATTGTTTTTCTCTGCAAATGATGCTGCTAAAATGAAACCATTTTGAGAAAAACTAAAGATTTTTTTAATGCCTATAAAGTTGACTATGGAGACTCATTCAGAATTACAGCTGCGAAGATGACGTGACTGTGACATTTATGCCGTCTTACAAATGACTGCATGAAAATGTCTCAGGAAGGCTGTATAACCCTCTAAATTTCAAGCTGTAAAAGGGCCTCACTTTTACAGTCAATTACTTTTCTTAAAAAATAAAATTTCATAAAAGACTAAAGATTGTGCCAATTCTTGAATATTTTACTTAAACATAAAAAATAAAACCAATGGAAATATATTTTTTAACTTCTATATCATTAAAACAATTGAGGGGGGGAAGACTGCATATAGACTGTTTATAGCAGCAGCATTGTTTCTAATCAAAAGACTAGCAAAAACCTAAATGCCCATCAACAAGAGAATAAATAAACTGTTACATGTTCACACAAATATTATACAGCAATTTACTAGTCTGAGTAAAATGAATTGGTAATGAGTGGGGCAACCAATGAATTGTAGTTACATCCACAATATCAATTTTAGAAGCATAATGTAAAAAAAGCAAGTCCTAGATGACTACATACTTTCTAATGCTCAAAGCCAATTAAATGTAAACAATATATTATTCAGGCTACAAATAATAAATGAGGGGATGATAACATATAAATCAAATAGTATATCCTGAGGGAGGAAGATAATAGGTTTAAGGAATAGGGGAGAAACATATAAGTTAATTCCAAGCTACTGCTGGGTTGGCTGTAGTTTACTACATTATCATATTTTATAATCTACTAGAGGCATGGTGCACAAATTTGTGCACGGGTGGGTCCTGGCTGGTTGTGGGGAGGGGCTCAGGGTGGTTGGCTGGCTGCCCCTGACCTTGATTGGGGTGGGGGCAATCAGTGACAAGGCCGGCCAGGGGAGGATCTATGGGCTTCTGGCCGGCTAGCCCCGTCCTCCTGGTTGAACTCCCAGTTAAACTCCCAGTTGAGGGGACAATTTACATGTTAACCTTTTATTATATAGGATAATAATGTTACATATTAAATCATTATTTTTATAGGACAAAAACAATAAAATATTGGCATTTTGATACAGTTTAACTAAAATATCCAAATAATTCATTAATATAAAGGAAAGAAATGAATAGATCCTTGTAGGGAGTGGCTCTAGGGTCAAGCCTTGGGCTGACCTATGGCAGGGCCGCAAACAAGTCCCAGCCTGGAGGGCACAGCTCTCCTAGCATTGTTAAGCCTGACCTTGTAGCCCTCCCTCATTCCTTCCTAAGTAGCTAATGGGCTGTGGGAGGTGCAGCAAGTGTTGCCAAAACAAGAACATTTGTACACATGTTAATCTTATTATTATCTGACAGTAAAATACACTGCTCTGGGTCTCTGTCTCTCTATCAGAGGACAGCTGTCCCACCCCGCCCCAGCTTTTTCCTTCTATCTCTGTGTCTGTCTCTTCCTTTCATTTTCTCAATCCCCAGCTGCCCCTACTCAGGAACCAGACTACTCTCGAGCCCAGCTGGATGCAAAAAGAGAGAAATATTTATAGACCCACACATTTAAATTTGGCAAAAATCATATTCCCAGGTTATGAAGGGATATTCTATATTTGAGAAGGAAATAAATGTTTTTTTGTTTTGTTTTTTTTTAAATATATTTTATTGATTTTGTACAGAGAGGAAGGGAGAGAGATAGAGAGCCAGAAACATCGAAGAGAGAGAGTCATCGATCAGTTGCCTCTTGCACACCCCCTACTGGGGATATGCCCGCAACCAAGGTACATGCCCTTGACCGGAATCAAACCCGGGTCCCCTCAGTCCCCAAGCCGACGCTCTATCCATTGAGCCAAACCAGTCTCGGCAGGAAATAAATGTTTTAAGAGTTAAGTAGTTTCTCCTGGCTTGCATGGTTCAGTGGTTGAGCATCAACCTATGAACCAGGAGGTCACAGTTTGATTCCCAGTCAGGGCACATGCCTGGGTTGTGGCTTGATCCCCAGTGGGGGGCATGTAGGAGGCAGCCAATCAATGCATCTCTGTCATCATTGATGTTTCTCTCTCTCCCCTTCTCCTTTCCTCTCTGAAATCGATAAAAAAGTATGTATTTTAAAAAGAGTTTAGTAGCATTTAGATATTTTATATTTCCTATGGTATTTCATATTTCAACTTTAATTGCAACTACTAAGCAATTACTAAGAAACACTGAAATCATCTACCTATCAAAAGCATATACAATAAAGGTGGAACATGTGCATCTTTATAGCTAACAGCTACTTGTTTTCAATATAAGAAAAGGAGAGAAAGGTCAACAGAAGCTAAAAGTAGATTTTCAAGTAGATTTTTCAAGTAGATTCTCCATGGTCCAAATTATTAAAAGTGTAAAGCTTTCATGATTCTGTTTCATTACCAAAATAAATACTCTCTGTTAAGAAAACCTGGTAAAGCCCATGTTTCCCTGGGTAAATGGCATTTAGCTCCACTTAGCACGGCACAGCAGCCTAGAGAGAGAAAATGGAGAGCTGACACTAATTTGCTGCACAATGTTAGGAAAAAATTACCTGGCCTCCCCAGGCACCGCTTCTCTCCCCAACAACATGAAATGAAGATAATAGAACTAACCTAGCTCATAGGATTGTGAAAAGAGACAATTCAAGGAATGCTTTGAAAATGCTTCCAAATACATTAGCTAAGCAATATCAACTTGGAAGAAATTGCCACATATCCTAATAGTCAGACAAAAAAATCACTGAAAACTGAATGTGAACCCAGTGTGGCACATTATAAACACCACCACCCATCCGGCATTTTCAGAGTTTGCAATCTAATTTCATTTAAATATTCATTAACAGTAATATTACTAAAATAAAGCCCAAACATACAAATGTGTGATTCTTAGTCTTGCACCTTAGGATGAATTCCCTCCTACAACCTCTGGGTATATAAAAAAATATGTTAAAATTAATGAAACTATACTTATTGCATCACAAAAGGACAGACATGTGTCTGGGCCAAAGACTGAGTGAGGAATGGAACAGTGAAGTATTCATAATCTAAATTTGTATGAGGGCATCAACTTAACAAAAGCCTCTAAGTAATAACAAAATACTATCTAACCCAATAATAAATAAAATATGAATATGAACTAAAATAAACTTTTGTGTGTGTGTGTGTGTGTGTGTGTCCCATTGATAAAAGGAAGCAACAGGTCAAAGAGATAGGACTTACACTGAACTTACACTGAAGAATAATCTAGCTTTGTAAAGCGCTAAGATCTCAGATTAGCTGTATATATTTTTAAAACCCTCACATCCAACACACACCCCCACGCAACTGTCTTGCAATGCTGAATGCTACTAAGTCCACAGAGAGCCTTGGAACAGAAACGAGTCTCACTAGGCACAAGCCCAAATATGATAAGTAACACTCAGCACCTGTGGCCAACACAGAAGTGTGAGGAGAACAGATGGCATACCTGGTCCGATGGTAAGAAACTGATGGCATCAGCAGAACCCAGCAGACGTTTCCCTGTTCAACATCTCCTCACTTCCAAAGTGTCATCTCACTTCCCTTCTAAGTCAGTAAGGCAAATCTAAACTTAACCACAGGATTTCTCCTAAGAGAATTTTATATGGGGAAGCAAAGGGGGAGAGAGCGCCTCAGTCTTAACCACAGGATGAGAGGTTGCCAAGTGAGGGCAAGACGATTGATCTCCAAATCAACAATGTCCATACAGAAGGTGGAACAGATTTGGGAGTGAAAGGGGAAGCATATGAGAAAAGGCTGGACCTACTGTGGACTTAAAAATAATGCAATAAAGATCATGGCACTGCCTAAAATACCAGGTGCAATATTTAGAGGAGATATTTTTCTTCAGAAAACAGTTAAGATTGGCTTTCATTTCCAAGAGAAAGTAGAATTTTCCACTATATTTACATTTTTCTGAAATTTAGGTCTTTAAGATAGGTCAAGATTAAATTGATGGTCTGTTCATATAATATTTAAGTTCATACAAAACCACCTAATTGTATTCATTTCTTATTTGGGCAACTGAGTATGTAACTAGTTAGATTTACATGGAATTCAAATTTAACGTTCATCAGACAAAAAAACAACTGCTACAATTTCTATTTACCTAGATGTCACCATGTTAGTATTTCCTTCTTTTATTTAGATTTTAAAAAGGAGATAAGGCAGCTATTACACAAACTGCATTTTACGTATTCAGTGTGGTATCTTAATACTTGCAAATTTTCCTAACCACGAGGTTCTATTCTGTGGAAATAATGAGCTGTGACTCAGAAAAGAAGCCAGCTACCACTGGCCAGTCCTCTTCTACAAAAGGACAAGATTCCTGCGGGACACCCTCCCCGGCTGCACCGGTGGTGACGTGCTTTGGGACTGTCATTAACGCACAGTGCGCGCCTGTTATTTGACAGAACAACTGTACGGAACTTGCCTGCACCCTACCCAGGAAAATACAGTGGTCATTCTCATCAAGCGCTGCTGCTGAGGAAATGGCTTCTTGACCATACAATGTATAGGAAACACTGCCACCTAAGTTGACTAGAGGTTTTATTTGTTTATCACACTGTGAGCTTATGAATATTTATAAATGTGTTGATAACAGCATGAAACGACTTCTTAGTATATACTCATTAAAGAAACCACTTTCCAACTCACTCTCAGTTTGGGAATTTTACTTCAAGACTTCTCCTGTAAACCTAAGAAAAAGGCTTTTAAGTTGTTGGTGAGAAGGACTTGCCTAGCAGACTACAGATAACTCTCAGCTATTATGAGTTAGAGAGCTTTATATGACCTGCAATCTAGAATGGAGGATTCTCACCTTCCTATTTCACAATTACTCTAGCAAGACACACCAGAGACATTCAACTCCTGCTAAGTCATCCAGTTCAAAGAGTAGAAAAGAAAGGTGATCTACAGTCAAACATATGTGGGCTTCCTACTCAAGGAGAAGCCATAAAATTTAAGGAACAAATAAACAAATATATTTGCTGGCCATTCTCCTCAGCTTAAAGTAACAGTCCTTCCAAATGCTAGCTGAAAAACCCTGTAAAGAAAAAGCCAGAATCCTGGCCCAAGCAATTCAAAAATCATAAATACCAAGATTGTACACAATCTTTGTTTTTAAGAACAGTAACAAGTGGAAAGCTGAGATGCCCAACAACCTTGAAATCATGGCAGTTTTCAATCAGTCACATCAATAACGTTTGTGCAACACCATTCCTCTTGGGGGTTCTTCCCATTCTCCATCCCTGATACAATACAATTAAATCTGCCACTCCTGATCAGGCCTGGGGACTGCTAGTCTCACAGGGGGAGGAAGCACTCACCTCACAGAAGAGGGTAAGCTTGTCATCAGGGAGAAGCCCGTTGGCTTCATCCAAGAGAAAATCTCTACGGATGAATTTTTTGAATCCCCAGTCTTTGCCTTGCACAAACCTATATGCCCGTTGACTCTCTGAGGTGAAAAAAAAGTTATATTTAGGGTTACTCAAAAAACCAGATCAAATCTACAACTTGTCAGTGTATGAAGTTGCTGGATGTGAAAATAAAGGATTGAACAAAAAAGAGAACATTTACCCATAGCTTTGGTTTCTTCTCCCTTGGCATTCAGGATGGAGAATTTGAATTTTGCCCGAACTTCACTCTTTGGACAGCTGACCAGTAATAGGTAAAGTGACAGGTAATCTTTGCTTTCTTCATCTAAACCTTTTGGGTTTACTCTCAAACACCTGCCCAAAACAGACAGGGGGGAAAATGTTGAAAACATTCATGCTTATAGGCTGATGAAATGAGAGGAGAGAACTAGAACATCAGAATCAAGAGAGGAAGATGTTTAAAATATAAACAAGCTCAGGCCCCATAACCACTCTATTAAATTTTGACTTAATAGAATCACTACTTTGGAGCTACTTTTTTAGAGCAACCTGAGTCAACTAGAATCTGAAAACACATCTCTGCCTCTTTCCTCATAATCTCCCAAATCACTTTTACCCCCTAAAATATTTTAAAAGTCAGGCTATCCTAATCCTCAATCTCAGGAGAGGCAGCCCCTAATTTTGTTGGAACTATGGTGAAACCATGACAAAAATGTCAACAAGCCCTTAAATATCACCTTGGGAAAGAAAAAGTATTTGAGAGAAATATATGAATAGTACCCAATCTTTTACAGACACTTTATCAATCTGGCAATAATATTATAAGATTAAAATAAAAGAGGCAGCATGGAGAGAGCATAGATAAAAGTTAACTCTGAGGGTATAGTTCCAAGCTATATAGTCAGAGATGCCAATCTGTTACCAATGAATCAAAACAAAATTCAGACAGAATTTAATAGGTTCAACTGAGTTAAGTTGTAAATGTCAGTTGAACTGCATGTGGTTCAGATACTGCTTCTGCCAGAGAGGCCATATGCATCCTAAGGCCTCGCCAGTGTCACGACACCTCTCACAAACAGGTGGTTCAATTCAATGCCTCCCTAGGGAGGGCATATGCCACTTATATCACTATACATTGTGTTAAAGATACAGATTTAAATACGATGCCTACGAATAAGCATTCTCTCTCAACACTTGGTAGTACACTGCTTAATGTATACAGCCAACAAACACTAAATGGGGAGCTATTTAACTTCCAGTGGGTTATCAGAAGTCAAAACTGGTGGTTCACTGTTCTGGTCTTTGGAGTGAGCATATGATTACATTCTTAACTGCCTGCTCCTCCTCAAGAGGACACTTTGGTTTAGATGGTACTGATCTTCTTACAACAGGAATTAATTGGTGGAATCCAGACCTAAATCAATCAATATATGCATGATATATTCCTGGCCACACAGGTGGTTCAGAGGAAGTTCAAAGACTTCTGTTGGATGGTGGTGGGTTATGCCCATTACTAATGCAAGTGCTCCTTCAACCACAAGGGAAATTAGACTTGAGATCTCCAACAGCATGGAGAGCAGGACCGAGCAGAGAGAAATGGGGCCTTAACCTAAACACTGGAATGCTGGATTAAACTAAGCTTCAAACCATCCTACACCCTGTGCATTCGTTACATAAGCAAATAAATCTTTATTTTTTAAAAACAGGCAATTTAAAAGTCAAGAGACTTTATGTTAAAAATCTAGATTTCTTGCTTTTCTTAATCAGAAAGTATGGCAATGGTCAGCCCTTATTCATATATAGCTACAGTCAGCTGGATCTCAGTGACCACTGCCCCTTTTAGAAGGACACTAGCTGGTTTGCCTAATAGTCAACACTTACACCAAATATGGATTATCTTTTACAACACTGGCCCTCTTTACTCATTTACATTACCCTACAGCCATTTGAACTTGCAGATTCCTGATATACTCATTAAATTAATTCAACAATTACATAGCAAGCACCTATGTGTATCAGGCACAGCCGTAGACACTGGGGAATTTTAAGTACAAAGTTCTTTTTTCCAAGGACCTTATGTTCTAGTCAATCTCCCCATAAAACCAAGCAAAACAGGCAACTTTTAGAAAAATTTTATAGCTAGATGTATTCTTCCTCACCATTTCAGTTTATCATTGGCTCCTGATGAAAAGGTTGAGCTTTTAATGACTTCACCCATTTCCTCCCGGCAAAAACTAAAGTTATTGATGGTCCACATGTAGGAGAATTTCACTACCTTGATCTGTTGATAGAAAACCAGGAAGTAATTAAATAAGTGGGTGACTTAAAACACAGGCTGAAGATCAGATCATTGTTTCCCCTCCCTCCCTCACGATCCCAGAGGAAGATAGCACTATTTGGCCAGCATGGAGGCTCAGCTTTTCTCTCACCCACGTTTTTAAAATACATGTTTTTACTGATTTTCAGAAAGAGAAAGGAAGGGAGAGAAATAGAGATAAAACATCGATGAGAGAAAAATATCAATCAGCTGCCTCCTGTACCCCCCACCCCCATAGGAGATTGAGCCTGAAACCTGGGCAAGTGCCACATGAGTCACGCCAGCAGGGATACTGAATGGAAAGTGGGAAAAACATGGACAGGAGTGGGAAAGCAGATGACAAAGATTGAGATATTTATTCCACTACCTGGGGTCGAAAATCTCAAACCTAGTTTCCTTTTGAGTCGCCCAACACAGGAACACATTTCCATCAAGGAGGATGTAAGTGGATCTAATTTCAGAGTCCCCCCTCTAATCTCCAGTGAAAGACCATGGCCTAGGGTATTCAGATTCCACTTGGAGAACCAAGAAATGGAAAGCTGACAAATATCTTATCTATCTACTATTTGGCAGTTATGTCCCTGAGAAAGCAGAAACCCAATGCAGAAAGAAATCTTATTCCTTTCGCCCATCAAATCCTCCCAATATGCCAAGATTTACAGGGTGAAAACATAACTTACCTGTGTGTAGCACCAGCTCTCAGCTACAGGGCCACTCGACATTTCTGCCGGAGGTGGAGGACTTGGAACCCTTGACATCGCCAGTTTGAAGGTTAAACAAGATTTCCAAAATCAGAGGACAAAGATTTCTGTTTTCTTTTCACCCTGGTTGGCACAAGAAGCAAAAGGATGTTTTAGATCAATGGCACATGATCCTATTATTTCTGTTTGACCTTCTAGTCTAGACAAAGACTGGAAACTTTGTCTCCTGCCTAAAATTCTCTGCTCTTATTATTCAAATAGCTACTTAGAAGTCCGATCCCAAACTTAAGTGTTAACCTCGGAGAAGATTGCCTAATCTAATATAGTCTACTAATAACAATTACAGCACCTTATTTTAACCCTCTGCACAATACTTAACATTATCTTACTGAATGAATTTACTCAATGGGCATATGAAGTACATCTTACTGAATGAATCAACGGGCATATGAAGTACATCTATGGAAAGGCTGCTTGAAGAGGAGACAGCACAGTGAACACCACACACACTATGCCACCAGCTCCTTCACCTGAGACACAAATACTCTACTCCTGAGGGGACACTGATCTTGTTACCTCTCTAACCACTGTCTCGTCTTCTCTTATACTTTGGTACAAACTAATGAAGAGTAGGTTTCTATTCCTCAGCCCATTGCTAGCTGCTCTCTTGAAGGGCAACATGTACCCTTTTCTTACATGTGTCACTTTCTCTGCAGCAGAGATTTCTCCTCACTTACACCCCATCACTATTCAATTTTCCAGATTCTTCTCCTTGCTCATGTGCTCTCTGTTCTATGAACATTCTTCAATCTCTTTTGTTGGATATTCTTCCTCCACTATTGCTCCCTATGGTTTAATCCTCAGTCATTTTCTCAATTTTCCCAACATTCTCTTTCATGCAAATTTTATCCATCCCAACAGTGTCAAATTTCTGCCTTTATAAAAATATTCCCCCCAAATCTCTCTCTAACTTTGACCTCTGTCATAAACCTCAGACCATTTCAAATAACTGCTATACATCTTAGCAGGGTGTCCCAGCAGTAAATCAAATTCAATTCAAAATTCTCCCCTCCAATGCCACTCAAAAAATGGGTGAATTAGGTTACAATTTTTTAAGTATTATTAACAAAGCCAAACTGGGGGTGGGGGGACTCCTTGCAATGCATGACAAAGAAATAATTTCATTAATATATAAATTGGTAGTATGTAAATTGTTTCTATAATATCATTAAGAAAAAGGCCATCTACCTTATAAAAACTGGTTACTGAGCCTCACCTTCAGAGTTTCTGATTCAGAGGTTTGGAATGAGCCTCTAAATTTACATTTCTAATAAAGTTCCCACATGATTTTGGAAGGCAGCTATGCTCACCACTATACCACCAACGCATGTTCCCACATGATTTTGATATACTGGTCCTGGAACCACATTTTGAGAATCACTGCCCTAGAGAAATTGCACATGGACACTAGAACACATAGATTAGCATATTCAATGTCACATTGTTTATAACAATGAAAAAACTAGAAGCAAACTGAAAATCCATTCAAAGGATATCTAAATTTATATATATATATATATATATATATATAAATTTATATATATATATATATAAATTTATATATATATATAAATTTATATATATATATATATATATATCTCCAATATAATAAAAGAGAAACATGTAAATTGGCCATACCTCTGCTATGCTCACCAGCCAATCAGGAGCGAGCATGTAAATTAACATGACAAAGATGGCAGGCTAATTTGTATACACAGACACTGGGCAGAGAGCAGAACGGGAGAGCCAGCTGAGAATGGAGTGGCTTGGAGAACTTGGCTCCCCAAACCACCAGATGGAGAGCAGAGAGGGAGAGCTGGCTGTTTGGAGGACTTGGCAGAGCGGGAGGCCATGGGACAGAGACAGAGCAGGAAGGAAAAACTCAGAGCACAGGGAGTACAAGGAATTCTGGGAGTAGTAGTCCTGGTAGCAGCCTCAGGAGTGCGGAGAGCACCAGGAATGCTGGGAATCATACTTCTGGTGGCAGACGAATTTCCTAGACACTAGAGCAAAGTGAGCCTGGAATTGCACCAGCCAAGGAGGCTCAAATGCCAATGCAATGCTCAGTTTGCTAACTTAAGTGAAATAGCACATCATGTTTAAGATTGTTAACTCCATCTCTGATTATATGGGATGCTTTATTTGTAAATGATTGTAGAATAGTGTTTAAAACCAGTGGTGACTCTGGTCAGACCAATGGTATTACTCTGTGAGGGTAATTACTTCCCCTCCATGATCTTCTATAATAATAAAAGGGTAATATGCTAATTAGACCGGATGTCATTCCAGACGTCCTTCCTGATGAAGCCAGGGCCAGAGGGAAGCCAGCCCAAGTTCCTGGTGCCTGCGGGTTGCCGGAGGAGGGAAGTAACCAGGTCCCGCATGCTGGAGGGAAGCCGGTGCCAGCAGACAGGGGAAGGGAGGTCTACTCTTGCATGAGGGAGGCCTCTAGTTATTACATAAGTGTTAGTGACTATGTATGAGTTGAGTATTTTTTTGTAATTCATTTATAACTATTGTATTTCTCCAAATGTTTTGAGGCAGTTTCCAAGAAAAGAGACCAGCTAAAATCGGTTTGGCTCAGTGGATAGAGCATTGGTCTGTGGACTGAAAGGTCCCAGGTTCGATTCCAGTCAAGGGCATGTACATTGGTTGCAGGCACACCCCAGGTTGGGGGTGTGCAGGAGGCAGCTGGTCGATGTTTCTCTCATCGATGTTTCTAGCTCTCTATCCCTCTTCTTTGTAAAAATCAATAAAATATATTTTTTTAAAAAGAGAGAGAGACCAAATGCTACACGGGATCACCTATGATCAAGGTAGGCTTACACTGGAGGGAAAACACATTCTCACAGGGCTGTTTGTCTAGGAATGAGTAAATCACCATAAAGCAGTTTTACAAATCCCAGTTACCATTACTGCCAATAGAGGCCAGAATAAAATTTCAAAATCTTAAAAGATGTGAAATTACATGTTAGTTAAGTGCATAAAATTTGGCTCTGGAGGTGTGGGGTGCAGGCTCAGCTCTATCCTGAGCAATCATAACATACTAATTTGAGTTTATCTTCAAGTTTTAAAAATACTTCAAATTTATCTAATAATTAACAACTTAAGAATTCTCTAGGTAAGAACAAATTTAAAAACCTGTTTATTTTAATGGCTTAATTGTTCCTATTGAACTATATAGTCCATTATTACAACCAGAAGGAAAAAAAATACTAATTTAGTCTTGGCCATTTTTCTTTTCTTTTTTGCTTCTTACTCATTTTGTAGCCAAGTTTTTATTGTTGTTGTGTGTTTTTTAATAATATCGCCTTTCTTCCAATTTAAAAAAATGTCCAATCTGGTAGCTAAAAGAACTGCAGAATCAGCCTTAGATTTTGAGGAGCTCTAACCACACAACCTGCTGAGAGGGAAATTGATTAGGATAGCACAAGTCTAATTAATTTCACTCATAGCAGGCACCATGGGCGAAGTGTTGATCAGCAAAGCAGTCTGGTGTTACATGAACTCTCTAGCACTTTACGCATACCTTGGCAGATACCCAGCAGAAAAACAATTTTAGAAAAGAGGAGGTCTATTTGAGGGTCATGGTTTGAGAACCTGCGTAGGAGACAACTAGCACCAAAATATATTGTTCCCGGCTTCCAACAAGTTAGGACAAACTGTCAAGTTCTCAAATGAGAACTTTATTCTCCAAAGCTTAGCAAAACTTCCCAGTATGTTGACAATTCTGAGGCTGAACATATCTGTTATATACCACCACTTACTTTCCTGTTCACTCTATTAAATCCTGACCTGTGAGGTTACACCTCTTCTGAGTAGACCAAGAAATATACTTAAAATACCTGTCAACTGCAATACTGCTCAAAATTCCAATGAAGGTAATATCAGATAGCAACTAATAACAATCTTTAACAGAATAAAATGTTTCCTAGCAGGTATTATGATACTTTCACTGAACCTACCAGTGCACTTTTTTCTGCCTTCCTTTACACTCATGAACACTTCTGTGGCCTCTAGTAGACTTTAAGTTCTTTAAAAGGAACTTGCAATTATTTCTTATATCCCCTTCACCACCTAGCAGCCTGCCTGGAACAAGGCATTCAGCAAAAATACTTTGATGGCTAAAACATTTATCCAATTGCACTGAAGTCTATTAACTTTTTTTTCTGTTTGTTTCTTTCACATATCTCTAAAAGCCCTTTGAAAAGTGCTGAGTATATTAGATTTGCAATGTAATGAAAATAATTAATTTGTTCTTTTGAATGAGTTATAAACAAAGCCAAAAACTCCTAGCCTGGCACTCTCAAGTTCCAGCCCTGGAAAAGTGAATTTTTCATCCAGTATTAAGTATATCTTCATTCTACATGGAGAAAAAGATTGGCTATAATTTCTTTCATTCTGAAGACAAAAATCAGTAATTTGAACTAAACTCTTACATAACCAGGAGTCTTTCAGGATACAACAGGGGGAAGTGTTGCAATAGTTTAACCTGCAGTATATACAGAGCTAGGCTAACACAGTCTCTGATATGTGTTACATAGACCAGCGTTTTTCAACCGCTGTTCCGCGGCACACTAGTGTGCCGGAGATGTTGCCTGGTGTGCCGTAGGTGCAGACAAGACAAGAATTTTATAATTTTTCACTATTTTGTTTACTTAATATTTCATAATAAAGTAATTATAAAATACTTTCTTTGTGTTTATTTGATTCCTATTCAAGAGAATTACTTTATATATAGTCAATATAGGCACAGAGTTAAATTTTTTAACATTTTCTAATGGTGGTGTGCCTCGTGATTTTTTTCATGAAACAAGTGTGCCTTTGCCCAAAAAAGGTTGAAAAACACTGACATAGACAATTTATACAGTTATTTTTATCTTTCTTTTATTCTCTACAAGCATTCTTCCATCTTCAATCTAATCATTCAGAGAATTTTTTTAACCAACAACTAAAACAGGCATAATCCACACATGATATCTATGCATTAGCCTTCTATCTATCAGCCTTAAAATTACAGGAATAAGATGGTGGATATAGTAGATTGATCCATGTAATTGTTC